ACAGTGGTATATATAAAAAACAAAAAAAGGAGGATAATGTTAAGATGTCTTTTCTTTTTTAAGACAAGGAACAACTAATTCAAAAAAAGTTGTTGTCAAAAACACACATCAGAAATCAATTATTGACCGCATTAGACTAGCCTATATACTGTATGTTAAACTGCTGGACAAGGTGTTGCCTCCTTGTCTTCTAGAAAACAAAGCTACAACTTAAAAGTCAACACTGACCATTATCGGAAGCTCTAAAGCATGGCTGTTTAACTCATGAAGAAGAAGCGGTGGTTAAGTTATCTTCCTTCAAACATCTTGTCTTTCAGGTTTCCTACAAATGCAGTGGAATTGTGTTCAACACGGGCTTCAGGGCAGCATTCCGGCACAGCGAAATAAAGAAAAGACACTTTAAAACATGTTTTATGAAATATATCTACTCACCAAAATCAAGAATTGCAGACCTAGTGTGTTAAAACGCAGGCAGTGGAGTTCAGCTGTTGATGTATGTGTTGGTGCGATGTTTTAGTTCCCTTTGAATAATGTTGCCGACTATGTGTGGTCTCCCTCTTTTGTCACTGCTCTGTTGAGCCAGGTTGTGAGAGAAGTTCCTCGTTCAGTGAGGGAATCAACAACAAAAGAGAGGAGGGAAGAGGCAGAAAGCTGAGACCTGTGAATACCTGCCTGCTTCCTTTCCCAATAAACATGAACAAAATCCCCTACTCCTCCCTCTGCCGTCTTTTCAGAGTTGAGTAATGTACTCTGTCTCGCTCACAACATGTAGCCTATGGCTGACACTGATGAAGCAGCTCTACATGCTTGAAAAAAAAAAAAAGAAAAAAAGAGTGCAATCCAATTTTATGCTTCATCTAGTGGATGACTTAGACTGACTCACAGAACTTAAAGATCTGCCATCCGTGGGAAAATTGAACTTTATTTGTGGGGCAACTTAAAGGCAGTATCTCTTCAAATAAACACAGAATAAGACAAAACTGATTGAAATGCAAAAACATTTTTATAGAAAAATTGGAACGCTCTAATTTTGGACTGATTTTACGGTATGAAATACTTCCCTTTTCCTGAGAATTACCTTTCAAAACACGCCCTTAGGACTACACAAAGCAAAGGTGTGTTTGTCAGACAGCCGGGGGATGGAAGGAGAAGACAAGCAAGAACACGACAAAGACAGCAAGGCCTGACGTGTCTGTGTAACATGAAGCCCCTTAACACCAGTTCTGTAATTATCAGAAAGAAAACATTCTGGATTTCTAAAGGATCCTGTGGGAAATACACATGTTTTTAGGTAGGATCTGGGATTTTATTATGAAGTATATTGACTCAAATGTAAAGCTGCTGACAAAAGTTTAGAAAACCTGACACACACTAAAAAAATACACCCAACGAGCTCTGAAATACAAGCCCCAAGGAACAAGAAAAGGAGGTCATCTAAAGAAGAGCTGTTAAAGAGAAAAGTCAATGCAGAAAAGTCTGGTTCAAATGGGGAGAACAGTTGACTAAAGTGTGAGGTAGTCATCATTTCATCAATAGCTTAAGGGCATGGTTCTAGTTTAATGTCAACCTGTTGCTAAGTCCACCACTTTGTTCCAGACTTAAAGCTAATAAAGTTGACACTCGAGAAACCAGCTAGCTTTACCTAGCCAGTATATAATGGTCAGAGCAACCCCCCAAAACAGATTTGCACAGTCACACTTACAATGCAGGACAAGGTCAAGTAATACTGTGGAACAAGGTAACATATGATTAGATTCATTTCCCAATGTATCAACACCTCTCTCTGCCATTCATCGTCAACAAGCATGCTAGCTTTAGCTTGTAGAAGTCTCAATAAGTCAAACAAGAGCACAGGGAGATACATGCATAGACGGTTAGATAGGTAGGTAGACAGGAAGGTTTAAAGTCAGTTTAGCCAAAGGTATTGCACAAATATCAGCAAAAATAAAGATTATCAACTTCAGCTGCACATTGTGTGCTTAAATGCAATATGAGCTTTAGGCTACTCGCATTAAACTAAGACGGCAGACATAACTTGCATTATACCACACCAATTAAGCATTACATCCTCATATATGAACTTTTTTTTACATAATCTTTCTTCAACATGCCTACATTACCCACAAAAAAACGATGTTCTAGAAGATTCATTTCATAACTCAGCTGGGGATTGAACCTTCCGGTTGAGAGGCGACAACCCTACCAAAAAAAATAAATTGAGCCATAGCCGCCCAGTGTTTCATTAATTTATTGTTTAAGCTGCATCCAGACACATAATTCAACTTTTGCTAGATATCAAAGATGAATTTTATTGGGGAACAAAAATAATTTGAGGTCATAACTGAATAACATTTGAAATCAGAAAGCTCTCTTTATCTAAAGTATCAGTGAATTTAATGGTCAAGTAACCAAAAATGCCTTTAATCATAATTAGCATAATTAGAATATTTTGATGTTTTTTGCCACTTACAAAGTGATTGGGCTTTATAGACATGGTAATGAGATCAGATATGAAGGAGAAGCTCAGTTATAACATTTTTTGTAGTTGTGCTTTTGTGAATGATAAAATGGATTAGCAACTCATACAACAGGAAGTAATAAATAACTGAAAATATGTGATACTATATAAACAAGTTTTGTTTTTTACTTTTTTTTTTAAAGTTGAAGACTGGGTCAATTAATGTGAAATATGAAACATGCCTTGAGTGGTCAGAAGACTAGAAACTAAAGAATTGTTAAGTTCTTTAAACTATATAAAAAAGACAAGTTTATGTGAATAAACAATATAAAGAAATGTATTTTAGAAGCTGAAAACAAGATATTTTAAAGATTTAAATATATTCAATATCAGACTTAATTTAACTTTGGTCTGCAATAAAAGTATTTTTTAATATTTACATAGAAAACTTCACCCCCTAATATATTGTGGGGAACATCACACCATGAAACGGTTCACTCACAGATAGTCTGAATAAAATAAATTCATCTCTGCATTTTAGAAACCATGTTGCTCACGACAGTGCTAGGAGGAGTCAAAGGAGCGTGCATGACTTGCGTTAAACTCGAGAAACATGCACGTGTAAAAAGCTTAATGAACTGTACCTTTGTGTTTGCTGTTGAAGATTAACACATCATAAATCTAGTTTCAAACTGTTTAGCTGTACATTTCAAAGTGAAGAGGACACAGGCATGCTCTTGCAAGGACAGAAGCTAAAGTTAACGATTAAGACGATAAAGGCATTATCGCAGCATTATAAGGACAAATGTGATCCTACATGACAGGTTGTAATGACACAAATGTGCACACCCTTCTAGTACCACCATTGTAAAGTCCTTATAAAGTACAAGCCTTGACAACTTCCAAAAAAACGCCTATATGATGTAGAAAGTCGAACAATGGGTTGGTACCAACTCCACTAAATGATTACATCAAACCAAAGCAATCAGTGACTCAACTAAAAACCACTAGAGCCATGGTTAGAGGTGATTGCGAGGTTCCCTTGGGGCAATCCACATATGTTAAAAATGTTTTGTCGCTCAAAAGGAGCACATTATGGAACAGCTTACCCTTCTCAGTCAAGGATTGCTCCAGCTTTGTCATTTTCAAGGGTCTCCTGAAGGGGTGGCAGATCTGTAAAATATCTATATCAAATATCTATTGTATATCAAGCCCCAGTGCAATACTGCTTACATAAACACATCCATGTATGCTAACCCTGTGCAATAGTATTTGCACGCACATGTCTGTATATGCAAATTCAGTGCATCATGCAATAGGGCTATGTTCAATTACACCAACACTTTAAAGTTACAGGCTATAGGGCAAATGTGCAATTTACATCAGTAGGCCTACTGATGATAAGCCGCATAATCGCGCAATATTCAAGCACTTTACCACCCATAGCAGGCACTTGAAGTACTAAACTTATGGTCACAGCCCCTTTTAATGCTTGCATACATGTGTATCTGTGAACTAATGTACAGTTTGCTGTCGTTTGGTTTTAGCTTGTCATTGTGGTTTTATGTAAATGTAGGCTATGTACCACAAACTTGCCAAGGGACTACAGATAGAAATTAGCCAATGGCTACAATCGGGCATGTTTTCATGTTTATAGTAATAATTGTGCACTGTCCCTATATTAAATAAAATAAACTTTTTTTATGGTAACAATGTGACAAGCTACGTACTAACATGGGGAACTAGGACATCATTTCTGGTTGTACATCATTTGAACTGAACATATTTTGGTATGTCAGGGTGATTATAAATAGAGTTGTGTTATTGGTAAAATGGGAAAAACGGATGCAGACTTACACAAGATAATAAAACTATCTGCTTCCATGTTTTTAAAAGAAACGTCTGATCAGACTGAGTGCATGGCTATTCTTAAAAAAAAAAAACTAACCATCAACCTGTCTCTAGAGAAAACACGGGCATTAACAGACAGCACAGTTATGCAGACTTAAAGTGTCACCACAACAGCATTAGTAACAAATACAGTACATTTCAAGTAGAGACAAAATTAGGTGCAAGAACAACAAAGAAAAACAAGGTCCAAACATGACTGACGTGAAGACTGAAGGGCTGACTAAAAGATTAGTTATTGTAACAAATCTGTCTGCTTTTTAAACCAGTGTGAAGACTGGGATAGACCAAAGCATTACTTATTACATTGAAATGTTTACTTTGTTTAACAAACATGTCTATAAACTGTTAAGTCACAATATGAAGGTCAAAAGAGCAATATGTTTTTTTAGTTCATGATTTGCATTGATTACAGATTTTTGGGCCATAACCACATTTCACATGCGATGTGAATCCCAAATGTATGTAACCCAACCATTATATGTACAGTGAAATCATAACTGCTTTGGCAACCCAGTGTCATGAAACACATACATATCTATCTATCTATCTATCTATCTATCAGTATTTAGATGACTAGTGAGAATCTTTTGAAGTTATTGTCCACTTTCAAGAGATTAAAACAGACACCTGGTTTTGGTTTAGTTATTACTTTTATTGCACCAAAACATAATCTTCATTAGCAGATTTGATTCAGCACCAGAAATCACATCTTCTATTTGAGCTGCAGGGGTTTTAAGGCCATAGGGGGATTCTTCACATCAACTGGCGAGTCCAGCTCCTGTGGGTAAAAAAAAACAAACAATTGTTCAATTGAACACAGAAATCTGAAATCATCTCAGGTAATTAAAATGTGAAAATGTACTTTAGAAATAACCAATTAAATTAAGACTTCTCTTAATAAAACATGGTATGTTTGATAAATGTTGATACCATACATAATATAATGTAATTATCCTTCACTTTTTTTTGGCAGAACAGCAAACTAGGTTTTGTCTGTTTCAGGTGCAACTGATGATCTATTTCAGAAACTTGCCTTCAGGCGAGTTTTGAAGAGGAAAGATGTAATTTAGGTTGTTGGAAATTCTTGAACAATATTCTTTGTACTAGGATGTGGCATGATATTATACCTCAGAGTCTGAATCATAATAATGTTCACAAGGCAGGCCCATGTTGGCCATCAGAGTTTCTTTCTCTATGGATCTGCTTCTAACGGTCGCCCAGCCTCTCCTGTTCAAATCACATAACAATGAAATCACATTACTTACAAAGAACAACTGCTGTAGAAGTCATAGAATGTATTAGGAGTTTTCATCTCGCTTAACAATACTGTAGTTGAATTTAAACAATTTGGTTTGATGCATTTCTAGCCAAGTGGACAAGTGGAGGTCTACCAAAGCATGTGTCTCTGGCCACAGTGCAAAAATAAACCTCATTGAGCTCTTTACCTTTTAGCATAAATAAAAGCAGCAGCTGTCAATGCAGAGACGAGGCAGAGGACACCAAGAACAACACCCACTTTGCTCCCTCCAGTCACCGTCTCTGCACAAAACTGTCCCTTGTAACCAGCCACACAATTACAGCGAGTGTCTTTGCCTTCGTTAACACAGCTGCCATGACTGTTGCAGCGTTGGACTTCACAGGATGAAGGGTCTGTTTTAACTGAATTCACATTGGCGTTTAGATGAGGTGACGAGGGCAACTTTTGAGGTCTGCCATCATTGGGTTTAGTCCAAAAAGACGCAGAGTCTGTGTTTGGACCTGAAGAAAGAAAATATTTAATGATTATGCAACACATTACAAATTCACATTTGTTGTTGTCCCAAATAGTAATCGTGATAAATGCTAGGCAACCAGTAGAGACTGTCGACTTGTCCAAACAAGAAATAATCGGGCAGATAACATCCAATAAAACCACAAAGTAGCATGATTTTATACTAACTAAAGAAAAGTATGTGTTAGTATCATTAAGAGGTGCAGGCTTCTTCAATGTTGCAGAGTCAGACTCATGTTCTACATGTGTCGTTCTGCTTCAGGTTTCTGTCTGTTAACAGGCAAAGTTACTTTGATATATTTACAAAGGCTAAGAATGAATCCTCCATGAGCAAAGCATTTGGCAGCATTTTAGCAAAGAGTAATGTCTAGACATGTTCTTTTTGGAAAAGTGTCTTGAGGTAACATTTGTTATGACTTGGTGGCTATACAAATAAAGACTGATTAAGGCAGGCTAGAAGTTTCCCATAGTGCCCTAATGCTAAGCTAGCCGCCTGCTCGCCATAGCTTCATATTTTCTATTCAGACACGAGAGGGGGTCTTCAACATCTCTTCTTTCTCTCGGAAATAATGAAAGGAAACTTCCCAAATACGCATTTCTTATCAAGTTCAGCTGTCTTCTCAAATGTTGTAAACCTCTCAGTTTAGTCGACCCAAAGTGTGTATTTGACCGTCCCTCTTACACATTACTGTTTTCTCCAACCTCTGCACCTACTAAACCATATGTTTGCAAAATAACAGTCCTCAATGTCAGGTTTTTCTGAAGCCCAGATTTAAAAAATACCCATCAGCATGCTATGATTACAAAAGAATAGTCATCATGACTCATGTGCTAGTTTTGGTAGGACTTGAAGGGTTGTTGCTCGAATTCAACGAGAAAGGGTTCAAAACATTTAAAATGTAAACAGTCAGACGTTTTCACTGCAGAAGAGGATGTAATTAAACATGACTGGTTAAAGATGGGCTTTTGTGTTACCTACTCTGACACGGCTGCCGATTACATTTTCAGTGTTAGTTTATCAGTGTGAACTCACAGTCCTGTTCATCTGACTCATCAGAACAGTCCAGGTGTCCGTCACAGAACTTGCTGCTGCTGATACACTCGCTACCATCTAAGCAGGACTGTTGCTCGGCCGGGCAGTCTGGGAGTGAGGCACAGGAAGAAGCATTGACAGCAGAGGAGCCCAGCCCACATTTACATGTCCGACCCCCGGGATAGGCCAGACACAGGTGATCACATCCTCCATTGTTATTGGAGCAGCTGTTGGTGTCTGGAGAGCAAACAAGATATGCAAATTAAACAACTTATATTCTTGTAGCTGAAAGAATGAACAAACAAGTTGCAGGAGTATGAAATGTTTTGTATCATATAGTGCTGCTGGTAGTTCATATCAGACCTCCATGTTAATCAAAGGTTTGATCCTTTGTCCAAATATCAGGGCCTCCTGGCTGTGTTGTGAAATAATTTGCTCTGGCACTTAGTGGGAACTCTGCTCGCCAGGCTGAGAAGATAAGTGTGCTTTGTGTCCGGGGATGGTGACGCAGAGGGATGTTCACCTTTGTTTATCAATGAAGGGGCACTTCATGCTTCTGGTTACATTCTGATGAAATACTTTGCAAAGGCTTCATTTCCACATTCCATTGTATTAGCCAGCTCTGTCTGCAGTATTAGGGACATTGTGTGTTACACACAATCAGGAGAACATTTTTGCTTGATCTTGTAATATTTGCAAGGCTATTTGTGCATTTGCATTTTCCCATTCCAAGAAATCTTGATTCAATAATATACATGTTTTTCAATAAATGTTATTTCTTCTGGGCAGAGAGAGGGTGCATTATCATTTATGGAGTATTTAAAGTATCAACGAGATGCACGGTATATGTATGCCAATTGTACGAGAGAATAGCTTTAATTTAAGTTATAGATAAATATTTTTGCAGAATATATAACTGACTTTTATATTTAAAAAAACAATTAATGTAACAATATGAATTTCCTTTTCAGATGTCTTAGAAATGGATTTACCATAAATAATGTACCCTATAAATGTGGCTTAAAAAAGGTTGTTATACAATAGAAACTTATCCTATTTGATCGTAATTGTGTATCGTAAGCGTGTGTGTGTGGGGGGTTGAATATATTTTGTGTGCTTGATTACAGTAAAACTACAAGTGTGTTATCAATATAAAGACAATATATATTGTGCTTCTTCTGGTATTTTTACATTTGCTTAGTAAAATGATTGTTATCCAAGTGTGTTGAGTAATTCATTTTCCTCTTTCCCACGGCAGCACACCGAGTGTCCTGTAGCGTGCCAACACCCATGTCTCTTCAGGTATCACATCACCCTGCCATCTATTCAACTCAACCCGAGCCCAAGTGGGTTCTTTTTATACTTTTTTTTGGTGTCTTACATTCATAAAGAGAACAAAGTTTGGGTTGAAAATAAGTGCAGATGGAGTCATTCTGACAGCTAAGAAGAGAAAACTGGTTTGGTTTGTTTTACCAACGAAGCTGACAGCGTGCTGCAATCCTGCTGGTAAGCATTGCAAACTAGGGCAGTAATTATCGCATTATATATCATTGTGTACGATTTCAGCTTTGACAAGCCACTTGCACAATTTCATGAAACAGAATTTCCACAGGCTGCATCTTATGGTTCATGGTTGTGGAAGATAGCAATCCGCATTATGAGTCATAGGCTGCAGCTTAGCTGGATGTATTTTTCATGTGATACTTATTGAACCTGCATTATCATTTAAAATAATGCAGGTGAATGTTTTGCTGGATTTTAAAGGCTGTATTTGTTTTATTGTTGTACCTAAAACAACTCCCTGCTCTGAAATATTTCACACCCTGCCCTGCATCACCTGCCATCTAGTCATCCTCTTTGGTTTCACTTCTTTAGAGATAACTTGTCTGGTCCTTATCTCAACACTCACACTGTTTGTCACAGTTTTTGTTTATCACGTTCACATATATTTTAACCTGAAACCTGCTTTAGGGCTGTAATTGTATGACTAAATGTTCCTCTGCAGTCATTTACCTGATGCATACCTCCCAGCTGCAAATTTTAGCCCAAATGCCAACAATGCCAATAGTACTTTTTACTAGGCCTGCTTGCCATCTGCATTTAGGTCTTACCTGCTGTTGCCAGACCTGTTCAAATGATCACTCTCATATGTTGTATTTGGAAACTTGTAACTTCTCCATGGTTATCTGAATAAGTTTTGTTCCCATTTTAAAAAAACAGGAACTCTGTCAATAGATATATACCTGACTGACTGTCGTTACTGTAGGCTCTGACCTCCACCAGGCTGGTCTTTGTCTCAAACCACAACTGATTAGGCTGGAGACCATCACTGAACCACAGTTTGGTGACATCTATACCGTGAAAACACAAAAAGGAAGCTTCAATTCTTTCAGCATAAAATACACTTTGCACTCTACAAAGTAGTTTCCTAGTTGTTAAACATCAGAAGTTACAAGCAGGTATGATGGAGACGAGAAAGTACTGGTGGATATTTTAACCTGTCTAATAGTGAAGATGGCAAAAGAAGTTGTAGGCTGAATAATTTATGGTTATATTAGTCTCTGATGCCATCTGCTGCCTGAAAGGGACACATACAAATGGATGAAAGGTAAATGCTAAGATTACTGAAAAAAATCTAATTCAGTTGCAGGGCTTCAGATTTGGACTGATACAGTAAATACATGAAATCCCTTATTTTCCCCTTAAGACATTAAGGTTGTTTGAGTCCTCAAGACCTGAGTATTACTAAAAACTTTGTTGTCCTTACCTTTGTCCAGGCTGACCCAGAGAAGGATGTTCTCTATGTATGTGAAGGACATGATAAGACCTGGCCCTGTTTTGTGCTGTTTATATCCTGATCCATCCACTCCAATAGAGCTGATTACACTTTCACCTGCAGAAAAAAAACAAATCCAATAGGTTCACAAAGAAAGGCACAAACAACAAACCAAAATGTGTCATTGAGTCATCAAGAATTGTAAACCATTACCTGTGTCGGCCCAGTAGATCATAGTTCCTTGATTTGCAAAGACCAGAGCAGTGGGGATGCTGGACTTCCTCCACAGTACTGCTTTGTTGCGGCCATCCATCCAGGCACAGTTCACCTCTGTCTGGCTCGTTTCAACTTCCACCACGATTGCTGTGTAGCAAAGTCGCCCAGTGGGGGGATGCACTGCCATGGATGTAATACCCTAAAAAGTAAAAAAACAAGAACTGGTCTTAAATGTTCACTGAAAAGTAAATTATTAAAACAAAGAAAACATGAAAGAACTTTAGATTTGTACATGTATGTGGAGGTACAGTAGGGTGTTAATGCCTAGTGTGAAAAGAGATGATAGATTAGCAGAATGGAACGAATTTGAGCTGTGAATCAAAATGTACCTTAAGTGATCCCTGCATCAGTGAGGTGTTGTAGCCATTATGGCGTGAGGTCACATGGAGGTTGGGCCTCTCGATGCTGCTCCAGTAGAGATTTGAGGTCACCCAGTCAACTGCCAGAGCTGTGACCAAATCATCCTTCAGAGCCAAAAAAGTTGTGGTTCCCGAGTTAGAAATTTACCCTTGATTGACACCTTTTACTGGAGAGCAGCTAACTATTAAGTAAAGAGTCAATGAATACATACAAAGAACCTTAAAGTGGTTAGTGTACACCCACCTTAAGCTTCAGGATTTTTCCAGAGGAAGTCAGTTCAGGTCTCGACATGGAGCTGCTCAGTGTAAGTACATCCACAGATCCCTGTCCTGCGTCGGCCACATAAAGAGAAAGATCCTGGAGGAACACATCAAATCCTGAGGCCTCACTTATCCCCGGCAGGGCTAAATTTCTGCCATTTGGCATTTTTTTCAAAGCAACACCATCACGGCGAATGGAGCGCAAGTGAATCTGAGGAGTAAGAGGGGGAGACAAGGAGAGGCATAAGCAAGCTTAGAAAACGCTTTGTCATAGAGGTAGTTTCCAGGAATGAAGAATACAGGGCCCCTTGTCTAGAAATGTACCTGATAGACAGTGGCATGAGACAAGAGCATGATAAAGGTTGTCTCCACAGGCAGAGAACAGGTTATCTTGTCTTTAGAAAGGAGCAGCCCTTTAGGGCATCGACATATTGCTGTAGGTCCCGTCCCGGCTGCAGGTGCTTGTGATCTTGTTGTCACTGGCGGGGCCAAGAGGCAGATATGGGAGCATTTCAGTTGGCCACACGGGCTCTGTATTGCTGGCTGGGATAGAGCGTGCATCACCTGAGGAGACATATGTACTGGGGCTCAGAGCGGTAGGCTTTCTACAAAAACACCAATTGGTAAGCTGCAGCTGTATCCGAGAGGAAGATGTATACCAGACGAAAGCAGAATCAATAAAATCAAATTAATTTACTTATAAAGGACCACTGATATTAAAAAGGTGGCTTTGCATAGTGGAAATTTCAGATAGTCATAGGTGAAATCCAACAGTAATATTTACGTAAGATCGAAAGCAGCAGAAACTCACCTTTAGTCCAAATGGCTGCCCTGGCCTTTTAAGGAGAACCTTTTGATCTTTGCCTGTGTTCTTGTCAGCTGAGCGGATGGTCCTTCTTTTTGTGTCAGACCAGAAAACTTTATCATTGAAGACTGCCACAGAGAAAGGGCTTGGTGTTTCCACTAACTGGAGGATCTGGTGGAAGAAGGGTTAATCTGTCAATACTCATGTATTAATAGTCTATATCACAACTTTTTTCCTCATCTGGTGCTAAAATGAAGACTCATCATTAGCTTACCTTGATGTTGTCTCCATCCAGAGAAGTTGAACCGATGCAGCGCAGCTTCTCGTCAGCCCAGTACACCCGGTTCTCCAGGAGGTCAAAGGCCAGACCGACTGGCCAGCGCAAGCCTTGACTCACCACTACCTTCCTTTTTGAACCATCCATCCCAGACCGCTCAATCTGAGGGGTGCTGCCGATCTCGGACCAAAGCATCAACCTGTGAATGTTAATTATGCCATACATGCAAAGATGAAAGATTTGAGGTTAAAATTGGGAGTAACAATGACTGGTATTATCAGCCTTACCCTTTGTGTGGAAGCAGGACTAATGAGCTTGGCTGCTCCAGGCCAACACCCAGGACAACAGTGTAGTCATGAGATCTCACAGTGGCATCACTAAGCTTCACTGCTAGAATCTGGCCCACAAGTCCATCCACCCAGTAAAGATTCTTACCAACCCAGTCCACCGCAATGAAATCCAACTTAACTCCTGTAAAAAATAAAAATTCTTTATGAAAACATTATTCAGAGTTTGAACTCTCCAAATATTTGTAATGCATTTGCTCACCACTTTCAGAATTGTGTTAATTAATTGAACTATCCAGAAGAAAATCTCATTACAAACCAGTAGAGTTGAGACTTGTACCTTTAATCAGAGTTCCATGGTTCTTGGGGTTTGTCATGTCAGCCCAGCGGATGCTCTGGTAGTCTGGACTCAGCCAGTAAACTCTTTCTTGAGCCCAGTGATAGTCCAGTGAGAAGACAGGCCGACTAGCAGAGGACAGAAGACGTAAGGTGCCACTGTGGATTCCTAGCAGTAACAGCTCTGACTGCACTGAGGCCAGAAGTAAAGGCTCATCTGGTGGTGGAAATGTTAATCAGTTTCTCTGGGTTTTCTCAAGAGTGAGGACATGTTACGAAACAGGAAAAACAGAGTGCAGGGATCGTTTAGTAAAAAAAAAAAAAAAAAAAAAACTTTTTGTACCTTTGGTCTTGCAGCTTTTATTGTCAGGCTCCAAGTAGAAGCCAGGGTGGCACTGACAGATGTAGGACCCAAGGGTGTTCAAGCAGGTATGTTTGCACATGTATGGCATTAGATTGCATTCTTTAATGTCCACACAGGACACAGTGTTGACATGTGTTATGTAACCTGCTGCACAGTAACACCTCTGCAAAAATAAGGCATTTTCAAGCTCAGCAGGGAGAAAGTAGGCACACACTTCAACATGAAGTCAGTTCAGAGTGAGAACTCAAACATGGAAAAAAAAAACTGTTTCAACAGCCTTGGGCAGATAAAACACCTCATACACATCTGTTTTGTACTGACCGGTCCATTTGGGGTGCTGGTACAGTGATGGTCACACTCAGGAGCAGATGAGCTAGAGCAGTTGCTTTTAACACATCCTGGGCCCTCATCGGATCTGTCAGCGCAGTTGGTGTAGCTGTTGCACACGAGATGGGGGTCCAAACACTCACCACTGCCACACTGGTAAAGGTGAGAGGGGCATTTTTTCTCACCGCCTGTGGAAGAAAGAGGAACAAATTCATTGTGAACTGGGATCCTCTACACACTCTACAATCATTATAATGTCTTCTAGTTCATTGGGTTTCCTCCAAATAAGTAAAAAAACTAAGCTTTGGACATTTCAACGTAACATTAGAATCATAAAACTCTTAGGATTTTTTACTCGTGAAACAGAGAAGGTCAATCTCCTCCAATTTAAAAAGCCCATATTATGCCCTTTTTGGGGTACGTATATTTAATCTATGTACCTACTTTTGTACGTTCACAATAGATAAAGTTCGAAAAAAGTGTCTGTTTTCATGTACTGCTCCTCCTTGCTCCCTCTACGCTCTGAGTCTGTCAGCTACACTCTGTTGAGCCCACACTGTTAGACGCCACGTGGGCCAAGTCTGCTCTGATTGGTCTGCCGATCCGCTCTGTCGTTATTGGTCAGTTGCTCAGCACGGTTCTCGGAAATGTCCCACCTCTTTTACCATATTGGGAATGCAGCCACTGGCTCCGTCCGAGGGGAGCATAAACATTAGCACCTTAGCACTACTGTGCTACGGCATATGGTGGGCGTGCTACAGAAGTTAACGGGCGTGCAACATAAGCTGCTGGGCTTGCCACAATGAGTCAATGGGCTTAGATCAGTGATCTCACACTGACAATGACGTCGGACTAACAAATTTTTATCGAGGGGGGCTAGAACCGAGCGTTACATGCGGCTAATGCTACAGCTAACAAATGGAAATCCTGTGCCTTCAAGTGCCAATACCTACCTTCACTTAAATGTCAACTGTATGTTGACACTTAATTAGACCAAATATTAGAAAAGGCTTTTTTATGGGGCATGTCAGCTCATGAAAATGGGACTCGAAGTTAGTAAAAACACATCATTTTCAAATAGGCCCTGAAACAGAAATAATGTATGACAACAAAGTGTCTCAATCTAAGAATAAACCTGATCATATGACAATAAAAATACTCACATTTGTCCTCATCCATGCCGTTATCACAGTCCGCTTTCCCATCACACAACCAGGACAGAGGGATGCACTGACTGCTGTCTCTACATTGCCACTGGTAATCCCTGCATTTGGCTGGTGCTGACACACAGTTCTGGACACAAATGAGTCAAATTTATAACCAATGCCTCAAAACAACCACATGTTTTTAATGTATCCTCTATGAATGGGAAAGCTCTAGTATGCAATATAGGATAACATTTACAACTGCTCGAGAACAGAGAATCTCATGTTTTTTTTACCTTCTCATCTGATCCATCTTTGCAGTCATTCTCACCATCACAGAGCCATTCTTTCTGCAGGCATTCATGGCTGTTCGGACATTGCAGCTGAGCTGGGCAGCGTGGGGGTCTTGTGCAATCAACCTCATCAGAGCGATCACTGCAGTCGGCATAACCATCACATCTCAGAGCCTCAGACACACACTGACCGCTAGCACACCGAAACTGGTGAATCGCACAGGCCACCAAAGCTGGACAGGGAAAAAAAAAATACATTTAGATTTCGTGGATGTCTGTTGTCATGTTCTACATTCATCTTCTTGAATGTTCTGTACTATTTAATATTGCAAATCACCTACCACACTTTTCCTCATCTGACCCATCAGCACAGTCCCTCTCTCCATCACACAGGAAGGTCTTTGGTACACAGCGGGTGTTGTTATCACAGCGGTGATGGCAGCCTTCAATCAGACTTGAACATTCCTTCTCATCAGATAGGTCCTGACAGTCATTCTGTCCATCACACACCTTATCCAGGGGGATGCATCTATTCCCATGAGCACACTCGAACTCATCTGGGGATGACAAAGAGACTCCTTTATAGATCGACCAATTTTTCCTTTTTTTATTAAAACTGAAGTCATGTGAACATGAAACCTGAAAATCCTAATATTCTTTTGCTTGATTAAAAAAAAAAAAAAAAAAAAACACAAAAGTGATCACAACTCATCTGGACAGACAAACGATTTCCATCTTTATGGAGTTGATCATTTCATTTTCATTTTACCTTTACTTATTCTCAAGAAATCATTGCAGGCAAGCCCTCATTTACAATGACGTCGAGAGAATACTCACAAATCAAATACTTGCAAATAGTAAATTATTAAATGATTGGTGCCACTAGGTAGTCCTTTTGTAAGTCATACCACTTTTCCATTGTGTACTACACCTGGTTAACACTGGACCATATAAGAACACATCCAGTGTCAACAGTTGACCGGAAATCTTCATTCGAGTGTGTAACCACAGCTGCTGACCAAGTAAAAATCTTAAGTATAACTTAAGAGACAGCTGTTGCAATGCTTTACGCTCCTTTCACAGCCTACAACACAAAACAAACCTGCTTTGCACTGAGCTGCACATCCCTCTTCATCTGATCCATCCTTGCAGTCCCGCTCTCCATCACACACATGGCTGTACAGAACACACTCCAGGCCATCTTTACAAGGCTTCAATCCTCTGCGGCACTTCAGTGGATTTGAACTGGCAGCGAGCACACTGGAGGCTTGGTAGAGAGTAAATTATGCTTCAATTTACAATTGATTAATGACAAATCATGAAAGGACAAAGCAGTGTTTGGCCAGTTGTGTAGTCTCTAGGGTGAAAGAGGCTAACCGTAAGCAGTATTGGGTGTTTTCTAGGCTGTAGGCATTGGTTGATGCAGGGACTGTAGGGGTTCACTTTGTTTTTATACACTGATAAAATGTTCATGTAAGCTTAACTTCTCACACATCACGTTTGCATTTTATATTCCTTGTTGGCTTACAGGGAGCTGTGGCATCAGCTGATCGACACCACCTCTCATCTGAACCATCAGGACAGTGGGAACGACCGTCACACAGTTCCCTCCTTAGGACACATGCCCTCCGGTCGCTGCACAAGAAATCATCTGGTATGCAGAAAGAAAAGACGTCAATATAAAGGGACAGGGTGGGTAAAACTAGCTAAGACATCTTTAACATAGACTCTCCAAGTCACCAAGTGTGTCTTTATAACACATGTCATTATTTTACCAGACAAACATTGTACTTACCAGGGTTTGTACACTGGAGTATACAGTTTTTTTCATCAAATCCATCAGGACAGTCCTTTCTTCCATCACACAGCTGATTTTGAGCAATACACAGAGATGAATTTGGACAGATAACTGATGGACTGATGCAAGGTGGTGTAAACTTGAGAACAGTAGAATCTGTTAGTGAAGCAGTGACAGGGTATGGAAAATGTCAATCAAATATTCATATACATAACACAAATATTTAACATCTTATAAGTATTACCACATATATACTTCTCAGCATTGTACTTGTAGTATTGAGGACTTACCGCAGCCAACCTCATCTGTACCATCCAGACAGTCTCTTTCTCCATCGCACAAGAATTTCTTGGGGATGCAGCGCTTGCCATCTTTACAGTGATACTCGCAGCTATTGGTTTGTTCCTGGCAGTTCAGTTCATCAGTCTGGTCCTGACATTGTGGCTTCCCATCGCACACCTGAGCCAAAGGAATGCACATCTTCCCGTGGAAGCACTGGAACTCATCTGTGGATGAATACAGACAAAAATGTTAGAAATATTGGAATGACATCATAACAGCTGCTATTATTACCCATCCACCCAAACAGTGTATTTTTATTTGTGTACTGACGTTAATAATTAATCTGTTCAATTTTAAGTAAGGGTACCATTTAATACATTTCACAGTCACAAAATCAAATAACTGAACCACTTCATCATATGTTCAAAAGTTTAAAGTAAAATAAAAAACCTTGTTTGCATGTTCCTGGGCATCCTTGTTCATCAGACCCATCCATGCAGTCTCGCTCGCCGTCACAAACGTGGCTGTATAAAACACACTCTTTGCCGTCATTACATGACTTTGCGCCGATGCGGCACTTCAAGCTTTTTGCCTGAGTTACAGGAGCAGCCACATCTGGACAATTGTACTCGTCTGAGCCATCATTGCAATGACTGCGGCCGTCACAAACCAGCGTCTCTGATACACAGCTGCGACGGTCTTTGCAGAGAAAATCAGCTGAGGAGAATGGCATTTGATATGAAGCATCATACAAAAGAAACTACATTAAAAAAAATGACAGACCTTATCAAATGCTGTTACAATCAGAGAAGAAGTGTTTCAGTCATCCCATGATCCTACTACTTACAGCTGTCCTGGCATTTTTCCAGACAGTTCTCATCAGATCCATCAGGGCAGTCTCTCTTTCCATCACAGAACTGTGTTGGCTTGATGCAGAAAGAAGACCCTGGACACAGAACTGAAGGACTGGTGCAGGGTGCCTCAGTTAAGGGTAAAGATGCTTCATTTAAGCTGAGCTTTTCTGAAGCAGCTGAAGTGACAGTGCTTAAATCATCTGAAATTACACAACAGTTAGTTAAGCTTTAGAGGTGCATTTTGTTAAATGTCCATGATTATGCATTTCATTCAACTGATTTTGAGAAAGTGCAGGCAATTCCAATACAATTCAGCTTAAGCCACAAGGAATAGTTTTTTCCTTTATAGAGAAGCACATACTCACCACAACCTTCTTCATCTGACCCATCTCGACAGTCCCTCTCTCCATCACAAACGTGACTATAGAGAACACATTCTGTGCCATTATTGCACAGTCTGGAGCCCATGCGACACTTTAGGGTCTTTGGCGGAGCAGCAGTAGAAGATACGCTCGGGCAGCCTAACTCATCGGAACCATCATTGCAATGAGAGCGACCATCACAAACCAGTCTCTTTGAGACACAGCTCCGACGGTCTTTGCAGCGGAAGTCAGCTATGGAGTGTAAGAGAATGAATTTTTAAAAAAAGCAGATTTGCTCTGTATCCTTCATGTTCATAGAAAAAGCATTGAAATGTGTATATATTTTTGCACAACTACATGTCCACAAAAAAAATAAATGCATTGACTACTTACTCCTGTCAGGGCATCTCTTCACACATTTCTCATCAAATCCATCAGGGCAGTCTTTTTTTCCATCACAAAACTGTGTTGGCTTTAAACATACAGAGGAATCTGGACACAGAACTGATGGACTGGTGCAGGGTGGCTGAGTGGGAGGTTCAGTAAAGGGTTCGACAGGTAAAGGTGTTTCATTTACAATTATAGGAGACTCAGTCAATTGAGGAGTTTCAGCATGAATCGTAGTGGCAGCATCTGGAAAAATAAAACCAATAGTTACTTGTATAAAGTTAAAGTACATCAACATATATCAAGTTTTTGACGACAGATAAATGTGCTCGTCTGAATATCACATCACCTTCACCTTTAGAATAGTAATCTTTGAATGAATACTCACCGCATCCTAGTTCGTCTGATCCATCTCGACAGTCTCTCTCTCCATCACACACATGGCTAAAAAGGACACACTCTGTGCCATCATTACATAGCTTTGAGCCCATACGGCACTTCAAGCTTTTTGCCTGAGTTACAGGAGCAACCACATCTGGACAGTTGATCTCATCTGAGCCATCATTGCAATGAGAGCGACCATCACAAACCAGTTTCTTTGGGACGCAGCTCCGACGGTCTTTGCAGCGGAAGTCAGCTAGGGAGGATGGAATTTGATATTTCAAACATCTTAAATATACTTGCGGAGAAAATCAGCTGAATAGAAGGGCCATTTACATAATAAACATAAGAAAGCAGCACTATAACCTCCCACTTATTCAGTGTGGATACAATCAGAAAAATAAATGATCTAAAGCAGCCCATAATAGGCCAACTCACTCCTGTCAGGGCATCTCTTCACACATTTCTCATCAGATCCATCTGGACAGTCTCTCTTCCCATCACAAAACTGTGTTGGCTTTAAACATACAGAGAATCTGGACACAGAGCTGAAGGGCTGGTGCAGGGTGGCTGAGTGGGAGGTTCAGTAAAGGGTTCGACAGGTAAAGGTGTTTCATTTACAATTACAGGAGACTCAGTCAATTGAGGAGTTTCAGCATGAATCGTAGTGGCAGCATCTGGAAAAATAAAACCAATAGTTACTTGTAGAAAGTAAAGTACATCAACATATATCAAGTTATTGACGACAGATAAATGTGCTCGTCTGAATATCACTTCACCTTCACCTTTAGAATAGTAATCTTTGAATGAATACTCACCGCATCCTAGTTCGTCTGATCCATCTCGACAGTCTCTCTCTCCATCACACACATGGCTAAAAAGGACACACTCTGTACCATCATTACATAGCTTTGAGCCCATACGGCACTTCAAGCTTTTTGCCTGAGTTACAGGAGCAACCACATCTGGACAGTTGATCTCATCTGAGCCATCATTGCAATGAGAGCGGCCATCACAAACCAGTTTCTTTGGGACGCAGCTCCGACGGTCTTTGCAGAGAAAAAAACCTAGGGAGGATGGAATTTGATATTTCAAACATAAAAAAAATTGCTTGCAGAGAAAATTGGCTGAATAGGAGGGCCATTTACATAATAACAATAGGAAAGCAACAGTAGAAACTCCCACTTATTCAGTGTGGATACGATCAGACAGAGAAATGATCTAAAGCAGCCCATAATTGTCCAACTCACTCCTGTCAGGGCATCTCTTCACACATTTCTCATCAGATCCATCTGGACAGTCTCTCTTCCCATCACAAAACTGTGTTGGCTTGATGCATAAATAAGACCCTGGACACAGAGCTGAAGGGCTGGTGCAGGGTGGCCGAGTGGGAGGCTCGGTAACGGGCTCCATGAGAGCAGGCGACTCACTTGTGCCGATAATTTCTGCAAGAATTGTAGGAGTCATATCTGCAAACATTTAACTAGTTTCATAGAAAAGTATTGTTTAACATCAAAAACATAATTTTATCATGCAAATCACCATATACTGTAACCATTGTAATTGCATGCTATGAATTAAATACCTACCACATCCTAGTTCGTCTGATCCATCCTGGCAGTCCCTCTCTCCATCACACACGTGGCTGAATATGACACACTCTTTGCCATCATTACATGGCTTTGAGCCGATACGGCACTTAAAACTTTTTGCTCGAGCTGCAGGAGTCGCTACATCTGGACAGTTGCGCTCGTCTGAACCATCATTGCAATGAGAGCGGCCATCACAAACCAGTTTCTTTGATACACAGCTGCGGCGGTCCTTGCAGAGATAATCAGCTGAGGAGAATGGAATTTGATATAACGTAGCACAAAAGACACAACATAATAAATACAACTGTGTACTTATCCAGTGTGATTGAGACACAAGAAAACCAATTAATAAATCAACCATTATTCTACTTACACTTGTATTGGCATTTTTTCACACATTTCTCATCAGATCCATCAGGGCAGTCTCTATTTCCATCACAGAACTGTGTTGGCTTGATGCATAAAGAAGACCCCGGACACAGAGCTGAAGGGCTGGTGCAGGGTGGCTGGGTTGGACGGTCAGTGACTGTTAAAGGGGCATCATTTAAGATGAGATTTTCTGAAGCAGGGATAGGAGCAACCTCAGTGGACCCTGAAAAGTAACAGTTAGCTTAAACTTAATTTGAGAAAAATCACAAAATATCTCATTTGTAAGCCACTTCAAATTAACCTTAGATCCTAGGTTTCTAGTAACCCTGATAAAACGCCACTAGCAGGAGGTTCAGTGTTAAGAGGCATTTTGTTTGTTGGGGAATTGGTCTGTTCTTCGACATCTTGGATATAACAAAAGCCATCACATAGAAAAGTAAAAAAATAGGATTCATAAATAGTTTTAGCCATAATATTACATAATCAGACACTTGGAAATGAAGGATTAAAGTGTTTCTTCAACATATCTGACAAAACCCACCACATCCCTGTTCATCTGATCCATCCCGACAGTCCTCTTCACCATCACACAGGTGGCTGTACAAAACACACTCCGTGCCGTCTTTACATGGCTTTGAGCCTGTGCGACATTTCAGGATATTTGCCCGAGGTGCAGGTGACGCTACAGTCGCACAGTCAACCTCATCAGAGCCATCAAGACAATGAGAACGACCGTCGCAAACAAGACTCCTGGAGATACAACTGCTACGGTCCTTGCACTTGAAATCCTCTGAGAGAGACATGGGAAATTGAAAAGCAAGGTGGGGAAAAAAAATATATACATCACAAAAACATTCCAAAAAGCTGGTAAACTAAAATGATTATTATAGCCAATGAACTATGATTACTTCTCACAATTTAAGAGAATTTGTCATTGTTGTTTTATTTACCTTTGGATGGACATGTGGTAACACAAGATTCCTCATCACTTCCATCAGGGCAGTCCCTCTTTCCATCACACAGCTGGGTTTGTGCAAGGCAAATTGATGTACGTTGGCACAACACAGAGGGACTGTTGCAGACTGGAGTAATGGGCACTGGGGGGGGGGGGGGGATCAAGAGAATTAACCAAGTATGTCATTGTGGCTTTCAACACACAAATGAGCAAAACATGATCCACTTTTTACTAACAATTCCCTGCAAACAGAAACTTTACCAGAAGCCCAATAAAAAAAACCCACTTCAATTGTTTTTTTTGGGGTTTCTATGATTTGAAGAGCTACAAAAGGCTCTTTAAGCAACACTAACGCCACCTAATTTAAATTTTTTGAAAGTAGTTTGACCATACCTGGTCTAATTTCCTTAAGTGCAGGAATAACACCAAACACAAGACCTCCCTCAATCACGTCTTGGATGGGGGTCCCATCACGCCGGTCCCAAAGAGTCATGACATCATTATAATGGGACAACAGGAAGGGCTCATAGGCAGCTATGATTGATCCTGAAATGTTCCACCTTCTACCTGCTTGGTGGCTTCTTTCTTGACGCAAACTCATTGCTGTCAAACCTGAAAAAGTGCAAGAGACAACTCATTCAACATGTCTGCTGTCTTCAACAGCGAGTTTCAACACTTAGAAAGTCTGATGTTCTTTTCAACAGAGGTAGATTCAAAGATGATTATGGGGGCTTAACTAACAATGATAAATTGCTTCATTATAAGACTCAACCCACCAGGCTCATTACTGAAGGTTTACACCAAATGTAATAACTTCATGATTAATGCAGATGATATTTTAAAGCAAAAGTGCACCTTGAAGGCTTTCTTTTATGTATAAAAGAGAAACAGGGAGAGCTTTTTGCTATAAAAGTGGGACCAACTTTTCTGAGAGCCAACCATTTTTCCAATAGTGCAACTTTTCACTGCCTGCCCTTCATCAGAATCCCCTTTTCACTACAGGCCATACCCTCCCTCTAGCATATGCTCACCTTAAGAATCAGCTAATTTAGATCAACATAGTTGGGAAAAAAGTTACTATTTTTCCTGTTGACCTATTATGTCACACACAACGAAGAAGCACACTGGTTGTATGTTAAATGGTAAAATGAAGGACACCTTTACAGCTCTGTTCATCTTGTAGATACCCTTTGCTTTAGGTAGAAATTGAATGCACGCTATCCCTCATGCGTCTGGTGATATCAGAATTCTGGCTTTCTTCTACATATTAACACCATTCAAATCTAAGGTCAAAACATGACACAGGAACTGTGAAGCATGTGCAGATCGCCTAGGCAAGTTTGGAGCTGATTAGAGGTGAATAAAATGACCCCTAAATTTTCTAGGTATGTTATACTAAATTTGACTTGGTACGTTTTCTGTCCAAATAGCAGTTTTACATTTATTTTTAAAGTACCGTTTTAGTTGGACTCACAATAAACTGACTCCTTTTTACACTGTAAACATATTGGCACTGACTTATCAGTGTTGGAGTGATAAACATTCTATAACTCATGTAGAGAAGTGACAGACCTGATCTTTTTGAGTTCCAAAGCAAACTGTTGGCCCTGAGGTCGAAGGCCATGTTCCCTCTGACTTCTGTGGCTACTAGGTGCAGCAGCTCTTTGGCTTTGCCTCCCATCATGCTCATGGTGAGGATTTGATCATCCTCGAGCCAAATGAGGCTGCCCCTCAACCAGTCCAGGTATATGTCCCGGATGTCCTTCGTTGTTTGGTAGAGCTGCTGCGTGTATCGCCTGTCAGTTGTGATGATGCCAATTTGTTTTTGGTCACATGACACCCAATAAAGGTTCCCTTTCCTCTGGTCTACTTTTATCAGACAAACTGAAGAAAACAAAGAGCAAAAATAAGTGAGCTGCTTGAGCAAGGACAAAACAATTAAGTATTTTAGTTACTTAAATAGTTTATCTATTTTTTTTTTTTTTTTTAATTTCTGTCAGCTGATAATACGGTGAATATTACTTCCTCAGTTCCACTACAACAGCAACATTCATCATTTGGGTCTTAAAAAACCATGGAAAACTCAATTTACCTGGCAAAGGTGTTGGGACCACCTCAGTCTTTACCTTGACTAGACTGATGCGTTTGACATGACCAGTTTTATTGACCCAATACAGCCAATCTCTGTACCAGTCCACATCAAAGGAAAGGATGCCGTCGTCAATGGCAAAGAGCTGAGTGTTAGTTGACTCTTTGCCTCTGAACTCCACCATGTTGACGTTGGTAATGGTAGCATATATAAACCTGGGATCTGTGGGACCAAAGAAAGAACATATTTTAATCCCATAATTGCAAGAAACAATATGCAAGATTTTTTTTCTGAAATTCTTTATAGACCATTAAAGGTGGAGGAGTCCATGTTTGAAAACCGAAATAAACTACCTCTAACAGTGGAAAGCGATTTGTAAACCACAATTTAGAATTTTGTTAAACCTACATTCACATGTGCCATCTAGTAGTAGTACTTTAGAGTTTGGACAAGCACAGGTGTATCCAATAGGGTTGCCTTTAGTTAGCTGGCAGATCTGACATGGAGTCTTAGCACATGCTGATGAACCTGAAATGAAAGCAATACATCTGAAATAAGAGAACTAAAACAGGTACTTGTAGTTTCCAAATACACATTTTATACTAAATTTAAAACACTAAAAGTATTTACTCAAAACATAAAAAAGATTTACTACATTCAGTGATACATGCAACAAATAACACTAGTCTTATAAAATGGGTAATTAAATTCAAGTATTGTCATAGGTCAAATACCAATCTCCACTTAAACACTTTAGTGAAGTTGTTTTAATGAGGGTTTAGTGCTCAGGCTTTACGGAGAACATTTGGAAAGGGCCATGATTTCAATTATCTGTGGAGATTCTGAGGGAGAAACTAATGAACTAGAAATCTTGTATTGAAAATAAATCTGGACCAATAAGTACCTTGGGGTTGCTGTTGCTCATGGTAAACAGCTAATATTGGCAGCGCAGCTTTCCGTATCAATTCCTTTTGGTTTGGTTGGTCCTGTGGCACCTTCCACAGTCCTTTCTCATCCGCCCAGTAAAAGGAACTTTCAAAAACAGCCAGGCTGAGAGCAGGCATCTTGTTGAAGAGTCCTGTGAAGGAGTGACGGTTGGTTCCGTCCACCTTCAACGTCTCTATAGACTGATTTAAAAACAGTTCAGGATGAGGATCAAAACAGCAAAGGGTTCACTTTGACCACCCACCCAATCAAAAGTGTTTACGATGTATTATATTCTCTTCCTATCTTGCCAGTTGTGTGTTGAATGATTTATTCATCTTACACCCCCCCCCCCAAACTTAACGCAAGTGTTCGGATGAGGGTAAAATAAATTACTACAATGACCCGTACCAGAAAATAAAGGTAAAAATAATCAAATTTATGATGGCTAAATTATATTAACTTATATACCCATGTGTGTTTGGTGTTCTCCATCAAATTGTACTGCCTTTGTTCATTTTCTGAGTCACCTTTTTGAAGTCGCTGATCCAGTACAAGCGCCTTGCAGCCACATCAGCAGTTAGGCTATGGGCAGACTGAGCAGTGAGTACAGTCAGAGAGCTTCTTTCTGACCCATCCATCCATGACTTCTCTATAGTCACTCTGTCATCGGGACCAGCGTTGATCCAGAACATCAAGCTTCAAGTCAGAGAGCGGATAATTTGATTAAAAACAACCCTGTGTATTATGACCTCTTTTAGGAGCAGCAGGTTCCATGGTCCAGGTTCAATTTCTTTTGATATAAATGTTTTTCTATTTAATTTAGATACATTTTTACATATTCAAATCCTTAGTTGCATAAAGTCACATGTACCTCTCCACAGGTATGAGCACCAACTCTGATGGCGTGATTCTTTTGTGCAGCACAGTAATGTAACTACTCCCATCAGCGACCTGCATGTAGATCGACTCTGTCTTCTGATTGGTCCAGAATAGGTTTCGGTTTAGCCAATCAAAAGCTAGACCCTTAATTCCAGGTTCCCCTGTCAAAGAGTTAAGGACAGTTTTGTTCAGAAACATCATATTTCTTTTGTATTCAAGTTGAATTCAATTTGGATCACCATGTGTCCCATTGTGATGATTGAAGAGGCACATAGAACGTTACAGGTAACAATTCAGAATAAAAAAAAAGCATATAAAATGAAGCTATGCTGCTTTAATGTAGTCCCAATAGGACTGCACCAGAAGGAAAAAAGTCTGGGGTTTTTAAAATTTGTCAAACAAATATGTTGTGGTGGTGTAAGTTAACATCCCGTACCAACTCACTGATGTACAAAACAAGTAAGGCCTCATGGGATAAAGGGAAAGTGATATCAAAGCAGTTGTGTTGTAGTAGTGACTTGTTATTTCCTGTGGGTTTTATTCCCCCATAGAGTAGTATTGAACTTTTGAGGTTACATTTATTTAGAAAATGGAAAAATTATACTAAACACACAAATAAATCTTAATACATCTGAAAAAAAAATACACCCATGCACAGAAACGCCCACTACAGGTCAACTCACCAGAATAGATTGTCCATCTTTGCTGTCCATTACTTTTGTATATGCTGCCTCGGTTGTCTGCCCAGTAGTACAAGGCTTGGGCAATGTCAAAAGTTAAGGCCACTAAGTCAAGCACTGGAGTCTCGATAACTTCAAACTGTTGAGACTCAACATTCAGCAGCCCGATAGATTTCCTCTGTAACGTCAGTAGTCTGACAGCATTACCTAAAAACAAGACAGGAAGGGAGAGTTAATGAGAATATTCATAACAGTCAGTTACAGTAAACACATTCATTATATATCTGGACTGATAAACAAAACCTTTAGGACGCTACAAAACGTGGACATGTAATAATATTTCCTTTAAGAAAAATTTCAGGGGACAGATACTTTTTTTTTATGTAACCTGCATTTCAAAGTCTCTGATCTTTTTCTTCTTTGTCTTCAGTTTAGAGACATCAAAGCAGCCCATTTAAAAAAAAAAAAAGACAGTTATCGTTCATCCAAATACCCTTTATAACATTTGCTGAGAAGTTTGATCTTTCAAAAGGTGAAACTAAATCTACCGAAGGTTCACATCTTACAATCGATCCGATAACTTGCTTAATAACACTCAGCAGTCATGCTTTCATGTTAGTCTTTGTGTCCAAATATCTTTGGGGGGGGGGAACCAGGGAGAGAAAGAGGGGAATAACATGAAGGAAAGGGGGCACAGGTCAGACTTGATCCCAGGTGGACCTGCCCACTACTCTAATTGTTGTTGTCTGTACATGGCCCCAAATATCTTTATATTTTAGTACTCACTGTTTTCTAGGCTCAAGATCCAGAACAATTGATACAAACTTTTTATTCATTTTTTTTTTTTTTTTTTTTTTTTAAATCGGTTACTGTGCGAGAGAGTAAGAGAGGGAAAACATTGACACATTATTACCTGAGGCTACACATCTGGAGTTTCCATTCAGTTTGAAGCCATCTCTGCAGTGGCAATAGAATGATCCAATGGTATTAGTGCAGTGATGCAAACAAGGAGCAAACTGTTGGGCACATTCATCGAAATCTGAGGGGAGAGAGCTGTGCATTAAAAAGAGAAGAGCTTTATGGAACATAAAACAGACTTCTTAGTATTTTTTGTTTGCGGATAGAACAGATAACTGTTTCTAGCCAGCTTTTTCTAACATTGGTTCCAACCAAGTGTTTTTGTTGTGATGTAACATCCAACCCTAAAAAAAAAAACAGATAGTGTTGTATTTTTTGCACCCCACAAACCTTCACAGACTGCGCCATCGGCAGAGAGCTTATATCCATCAGGACAGGCACACAGAGCTCCCCAGACTTCATCCACACACGCATGACTACAGCCGCCATTGTTCTTCGAGCAAATATGACCTGCAGAAGGTGCACTGTGAGTCAGTATTACAATGACACACAAGCACCAGTAGCCTTTCACAATATTACATCATTTTGAGATCAATAAATAAATATGTTACAATAAATGTTGTATCAGTAGCTATCATTTTAATCTTCTCCAAAATTACCGCATGTTATGGGCTCGTCGCTGCCATCTGAGCATTCAACTGTCCCATCACACCTCTGTCCAGCAGACAGACACATCCCCTCGGGACACCTTATGCTGTCCTCATCACACGGACCTATAAGAGGACAACCATCCCTATTTAACAATGTCTGTCTGGCTTCTTCAGTGTTTTCACTTTGCCTCTGTGAGCATGTTGGCATCATATCGATCCATCAAATTTGCATAATAACACTCAGTGGTAGTAATGGTCACCCTTGGTTGGGGGTAATTGCTTGTGATTATGCAGATGTAAATCATATTTTGAGCAAAACAACAAAACATCAGAAGACCCAACATCTTCAGTGTACAATTGCTATAAAAACAACAATTACACATTCAAGGTTTTTCAATATGGAAGACTTAAAAGTGAATGAAAAGCATGAATTAGTATAGAAAAAAACAACTTCAAGTAATTAGGATTTTGCCGGTTTAAAAAAAAACAACAAAAACATGCAATATCTTGGCTCTGATTTTTTTAGATATGCACACAGTTTTGGTGTTGGCCCAATCAAAGTTTGTTAAATTAACAAAAAAGATCTCTATTGCTTGAGTTGATACCAGGAGCGATAACGGAGAATATACATACACTGTAATTATAGTTCAGTCTACTGCGCTGGAAATTGATTTTCAGTTTCCTGTGATACAGCATCCAAACATTTCATCTTTCTTACCACAGTCCTCTTCATCAGAGTTGTCCAGGCAGTCATTCACTCCATTGCAGCGCATCTCTTTGGGGATACAGATGTTGTTTTGACAGGTCCAGTCAGTTTCCAAGCATCCCTCAGGAGCTTTACAGTTCTCCTCATCAGAGCCGGTGGGACACTGGATTTGTCCGTCACAGCGGGCCGACAAATCAATGCAGCCGACTGAGTCCAGACAAGGAAACTGACCAGGTGGACAATCAGGAGAGCCTGGCTCTGCTGGAGGTCAAAATAAAACACAGTCGATACATGGGTATATAAAATGTACTTATTAACGTGTAAGGGCTTTGGCACTGCTACTGAAAAGGCTTGATTGCCTTGAGCTTCAACCTTGACCACACACTTACATGTGTGTATATGTATGTGGGTGATTGTGCATATATAAACAAACAAATATGCTTCTGATGTCAATCTTGGGGTGTGATCATTTATACAACGCTTTTGTCTGTTTTTCTTTTGAATCTTCCCTATGTGTGGATCTGATTGATGCGATGAATTGGACTTTGCATTTATGTTTGCCAAGTGTGAATAGTTTTTTTTGTTTTCCCCCCAAAAAAGAGGGTTCTGTGAAGTACAAGGAGCTTAATGTTGAAAAAAATAGAATCAAAAATGACAATGTTTCCAAGTCTCAAGCCTTTTTTTTTTGCACAATGACTGGAAATGCCCACCAGTGCAGTCCATTTCATCAGATCCATCCAGACAGTCTCCAACTCCATCACATCTCCAGACATCAGGGATGCAGCTGCCATCATCGCATTGCCACTGTCCTTGTTTGCATCCCAAAATCTGACCTGCAAAATTAAAAAGATAAGGAAAGATGGTCGAAGTTCAAGTGTCCTGTTTTTTTTGTTGCATATAATGTAAGCTGGAGTTTAAGAGGCAAGCATTTTCTTTTACATCTAAGGACAGAAAATGCAATTGTATTCATAAAAAAGGTGCCAAACCCTGAGGCTTAATTTGCTAGACAATTATAGTGACCCATGGCAAAATCAGCTCAAAGTTTATTTCTGTGGCACAGAGTGGTATGACAGTATATTCCTGAAGGTTCAGAATGCTCAGACTTTCACAAATGTAGCTAAATTGAATGATTGAATGAACTGCTAGTAATTGTCAATTTATTTAATCAGAGATTAATTCTATATAGATAGATGTAGTAATGCCAAATTTCAAACATGTAACCAAAAGAGACATGGTTGAGAAAAACCTTCCTTGTAAACTTATGTTAAACCCTTGAACTCTTCCCAAAAAGTCACACTTTGTCTAAAATAGGCAAACAGTAGCCAACAATGATATTTTTTACATTTTACAGGGCCACAATAATATCAAACCAAAGTAGGCCAGAAATGGTAGACTATAGTTATTTGTCTTTGAAGTAGCCTACCTGTTGTTACCAATGTTGAATTGTCTAGTTAATTTAAACTTAACCAGACTATTTAACCATTGGCCTTTCATAAATATATCCGTTTGAAGCGCATGCATTCAAAAAAAACCCAACCCTTTTAAATCCTGAACATGAGGTCCAGAAAGCCTTAACGCCATATCATTCCTTTTCATGGAGAAACACAAGAAAGAGTCAAAACCCTCTATAGGATGCTCTGTTTTTTTAATGTTAGTCCTACGAACTCGCTGTAAGTGTAAAAAATAAACGCTTTGTCATCACACAAAATACTTTTTTTTTTTTTACCTCGGGAAATGGTCAGAATTGCCAGTAAAAACGAAGAAATTAACGTGCGGACGTCCATGTCGGTCCGCGCGGCTCATCGGGAGAAACGACGTCACCTGGGAGGAAACGCTTTAATCAGTGTTGCAGGTGCGCGTGCAACCAAAGACTGATCAGCTTCCGTTACTAAAATAAAATACAATACAAACAATTGCATTTACAATTGTTAATATTCTGCGTCGCTTTGTTGTCGTTTTCAATGATCTATTTTAATAGGCTATAATAATTTAGCAGTCGCTTTCGTTCAAATAATGTTAACAAGTATTATTATTTTTAAATCATCGACTTTGTGTCAGAAAGGCACATGCAATCGGATTGGATTGGTCCTAATCACACACTTATTTCACAGATATAGTTCTTGATATATTTGTCTGCTGTTGCTGACACGTGACTCTGCGGGTTGAGACGGCGAAAGGTTTCCCTCCTTGACTGGTTTGCCTCGGATAGGCTACTTTTGTTTAATTCCAGTGCTTTCAGTGAGTTGGTATGGCCATTGGTACTCCAGGATATGCGCTTTTACGCACGACTATATACATGCTGTTATTCTTGAATAGTTGTATTTTCTTATTTAACAGTGCCAAAAACAGACCATAACCAAAACAAATTATGCTTTTTTTATTAACTCTCTAGCAAAGGTGGGAAAGGGTTGTCATTCAAAAATGTTTAAAATTGGCTTTTAAATAAAGGAGTATTACTCAATAGCATCACTAAGGCATTTACTGAAACAGTCAAGGGACACACGCCTCCAGTAGGCCTATGCCTCCATGAAACCACGTCATAAAATTATTCTGGGGCCTTTTGACATCAACTTAATAAGAATCTCATATTTTGTATCAAGGTTAAATGTGATATTTCATTAAATTTCCCAAAACAAAAACACGTTTTAACAATTTGAATTCTGACATCAAACAGTTTGTTGTTTTGAGATTAAACAAACGTTTGCTGTTTTGAGATTAAATAACTTCAAAAGGACAAAAACAATTTCCAACTAATGGCACCTTTCTTGTGTTTTCTTTTTACACCTACTGCTCATCAAAAAGAATCAATGCTTTGTTGTTTAACACCAGCTCTTTGTTCTTCCTTTTGAGGCTTAAGTGTTCAGTTTGAATTATGAATGGGAAACGATGAGCTGGCCTTGCAACTAATGCTCCTTTAATGCTGCTGCCAATTAGCATGGCCGACTCGGGTCTTTTCATTGACGCTTTCCAATATGTTTTCTTTAAAACAACCCAAATACTTATTTGCATATCTGTATATCAATAAGCCAAGGAGTTCAATTACAACTAACTTCATAAGAACATTGTTGATCTTAAAAATAAATGTCAGTTATAGAGAGGATGAGTAAGAAAAAAAACGTAAACTCCTAAAAATGTCCTGAACTGATGCTTGGCATTACAAAGTTAATGTATTAACCTATTTGATTTAACAAAATAATGTCCTGTTAAGTTCATTTTAAAGAGGAATATATGTGCAATCAATATATGCTGCTACCATATGTTTTTACAATCATTTATTTTCCCCAAATATCAGCAGAAGTTTGAATGATAATTAGTTTTCTATTGATTTATCCAACCACACAAAAATGTAAACATTCACAAAAGACCATCCAAGCCTTTCATTTCCAATTGTAATAAGATTATAAACAAAACCAAAAAAATCTAAAGTCAGTAAAAACTAATCAAATCATCAAACATCATACCTTTTTTTTTCACATTAAAGCTGTGTCAGAATTGACCTTAAATTGCCCCCTTACTTGTTTTAACCTTCTTCCAATAATAGATTCCTTACAGGCAACAGAAAGTGATTCCTGATTAACTCCCACGTTGGTTCCCCATTAATCACAGCGCAGTTGTGCAGCTCATAATCTCCTTAACTAATATTATTGTCATGGCTTCTTATCAAAGGGATCTCTAATATACAAAACAACAACAATTAGAGTAGTGGGCATTTACAGTTTTCACAACTCGGTCACTTCAAAGGCCAATTGGTTTCGATACACAACGACCTCGTCACAATTAAGTCTTTGAGCGCTACCTGGATCACACACGCCCCTCACCCATCGGCCTCTTGACAGATCTCTTCAAAGGACGTCAGGGGAGAAGGAGGCCGATATAAAACCGAGGCTCAGCATCTCATCTGGAGCATTTGGGATCTACCTGTTGGAGAGACAACATCACGACTGGGAATTATGAAGGGACTAGCCGTGGATATGTTTTTTGCTCTTCTTCTTGTGGATTTGTATCTCTGTCAGGCCGCTCAGCCCTTTCCTGGGATGCACCCTGTAGCATTGCTCCATGGTTCCAGACGCACCGAGCACCGGCAGCATGCCAGCAGGCTGCCTCTTTACATGATGCAGCTCTACCGGACCATGCTGACCGAGGACCG